GTAGTATTTTAATTCTAGTGAATGCATGGATGCAGATAATGACGCACAGATGCACGAACAAAAAACGTCACAGCAAAGTGAAAATGGCTTTTTTGACATCCATCCACATCAAAAAAAAAAACATTGCTGGAAAAAATGGTTGCACATTTTGTCACTTGACTAAGTGCCAAATTCCCTGAACATCCTATAGCCTGAAAAAAATAACTGTTTTGGCAGCCTTCCATGTATACTGCTGCAATAATAAGTTTTGAAGTCATCTGGGATCAAGACCTGCACAATCAGGTTAAAGTCGTAAACAATGCATGTTTACGTCCATTCTGGTGGTACTGGAGAAAAGCAGTACAAAGTGGTGACATGATGAATTTGCTGTAATTTATTTTTCTATACTATAGTATGCAATAGTTTTCCCTCTAATAATTAGGCATGCTGAAATTTTTTCTTTCTTGTTTCTGATTCCTGCAGGAGTTTTTTTCCCCCTGTGATTTTTTTCTGCCCCCCCCCCTCCAGAGTTTCTAATGGTCAACTCTTAATGTAGTAAACTTAACAGGAATGTTATAATTAGGCTTGATATTATCATATAAGAATTGTCCTGAACTATAGTAAACCATATATTTTATTAAAGCTCTTGTTTCGCACTTCCTGAAATTCTGGGACATTTTCGATCTAATTCAATGGTAGTCATGTGACTGCTAAGTATATAAACAAAAAATATTATTTTTAAAAAATCAGTACTGTGCGAAAATGAAACTAGTTAAATGAGTAACAAACATCGTAATGTTAACCATAGGGTGTCCCATCCAGTCGGAATCTGCACGACTTTTAGCAAAATTATGACATGAACAGACATGGTGCTTATAACATGTCAACATGCTCATGTGATTAATACCTGATTACAAAAGCAGAACTTTAATTTTAGCTGAACTACCAACAATCTTATTAAAGTACCACATCTTATCAAAAACTGTAAAGTAATCTGTGAAGGAGTATGAACAGACAACATCACGCTTGTGCTTTTTGAGACTACATCTCTAAAATTGTCTCTATACATCATCTATGAAGAACGGTGCGATTTTTTTTTCACAATTACAATCATTTTGTCACATTCATCATAAACTATTACAAACCCTAAATCACATAGAATTGTAAGCACTGCATTCTTTCAGAAGGTCAAGCAACTACTGTAAAATGACTAATTTTCACTGGGTTTAAATTTCACTGATTTACCATTTCAGGCATATTCAGTGGGATTTAAGTTCACGGTTTCGTCATTTAGATAATGTGTTCTATGCTAAATTTTACATATTCACTGGGTTTTAATTTAGCGCATTTTCCAGTCAGCGAAATAAGCAAAATTAAAACCCAGTGAATAATTAACCCCTTTACAGTACCGGTATGTTACATATGCAAGCCGAAACAAATATTGTAAATAATAAATACATTTTGTGTAATCTCTCAAAAAAATATAAGTACATCTCATATTTCAAATTTGTGTGAGATAGTATTCCACGCTGATTAGATCTTAGAATGAACTCTGGTTTTGCATTACAAATCTCCCATGTAAAACTAACAAAAACCCGGGAACACATTTTAAAATTTCATACAAGTCAGATGTAATGTATACCAATACATAGCAAACCTTTCACATTTTTGTTGCCTCAACATTTTTATGACGTTATAATGTGAGAAAACTCCACAGAGACTAAATTTCATGAAAGCCGATCACTGTCTAAAGAACCGCATAAAATCACCACAGTTACAAAATGTCACGATCTTTCCTTGTTGTTAATTTAGTAACCTATCTGATGAATACTAATAGAGTTCAGTTTATTTTCATTCATTTTCACTCAAAGAGTCTGCTACAGCTATTTAGCGTTTAAATGATATCCACAAACACAGTATTCCCACACATAATGGTACATACTGAAAAGATAAAAGTTTGATTGTAATAAAAATACGACAATTCTAGTCAAAATAATGAAACAAGAAAGCAAGAAAGATAAAACAACACATTATATTCATGGTATTTTAAATGTTACCAAATAAGGCTTTAAAATTCTAAAAGACAGGAAGCCTCCGGTTATTTTGTCAAAGCAGCCACTATGCATTACAGATGAGATGAATAGACACAATGTATATTATACGCACAATACAGTCCCTAGTTCCACTAGCATGACGCACATGTATAAAGCCTTAGGTGAGGGAAGGACAATGTCACACTTATACCTTGGGTTGGTGGTAGGACAAAGCCACACTTGTCTTGGGGTGAGGGAAAGACAATGTCACACTTATACCTTGGGTTGATGGGAGGACAAAGCCACACTTGACTTTGGGAGAGGGAAGGACAATGTCACACTTATACCTTGGATTGATGGTAGGACCATGGAGGTAGAAAAGAGCCATGGTAGGACAAAGCCACACTTGTCCTGGGGGGGGGGGGGGGGGGCAATTTCACACTTATACCTTGGATTAATGGTAGGACAAAGCCACACTTGTTGGGGGGTGGCAATGTCACACTTATACCTTGGGTTAATGTTAGGACAAAGCCATACTTGTCTTTAGGAGAGGGAAGGAAAATGTCACACTTATCTTGAGGTGGGGGCAGGACAGCACAACTTATGCAGGACGATGCCTGGAATTTTAAATTTGGTGGTTAGTCAACTTGCGTCTGTTTTTGTAATGTTGACAATGACAAACCCCCCATACCAGAGGCTAACTAGAGTTTTCTGCTATTGATGCATGCAGCAAACAAGTAATGAGCTTTCCAGTAACCACACCAGTCAGTAATAAACCAAGTTGTCTATTTATACTATGATTAGACAAATGGGTTGACTAGCTCTACAACTAATAGGAACCAGTCATCAAGACTGGCTTCTACAAACAACACTGCATTGGTCATATCAACCATGGGTCATAATGAACTGAACTCAGAAGTACATACATCACTTTTTTTTTCTTGCAGCAAATCAGTGTTTCATTAAATTTTGCCCTAGATTTTTTCAGCGATAAATCTATCACCTGGTTGTAACTAAACTGTTTTTCTCCCTTTAGGAGGATCAGTCCAAGTGGATAATTTAATGGCAGGGTTTTATATGCACTGTACAGTGAAGAGAGACCTTGGACAGGCAATCAAATAGCTCCAGCAGTTCACAGACTTTACATAGTTGTCAACCAGCCAAGCATCTTGATAAGCTGATCCTCACACCAGGAGTAAATATTAAAATATATATAAAATAAAATATTTTTATACAATCATTGAAATTGTTTGTTAATTTTCTTTCCCAGTTATCACCACCTGTTGGTTTTGATCATATTAGATAAGTAACAGTATTATAAAAATGCAATGATCGGATCCTTATATTTGTAAAATTAATGGCTAGTACAATTTGTATATATGTAACAGACATGAAATTGACATATGTGCATTTATCAAAGCCCCCCCCCCCCCCTGAATGGTGGGGTGATTCAGCACAGGAATGTTTATGCCATTTTTTTTTTCCAACTTTTCAGTCATAGTTGCTACTTGGTATATTTTTTCAATTATGATACCACCTCCCTGACAAGGATATAGCACATTATCATGTATCAGACTTCAAAGCATCACACCCACTGCCAATATAAGAAACTGATCCCCATGTGGGGAGAATGGAGAACACAGCAGAGATCACAGTGGTCAGAATCATTAGAGCTGTCTCTTAAATACACAATATGCGAGTAGTTTTGTGTTACTGGGAAAAATGTCTTAGGGCAGACAGACAAAAAAAAGTTTTCAACGAAGGAAAAATGGACTTATTTGATGTCTAGCAATTTAAACTTTGTAATATATGTAATGAAAAGGATTAAATTTGTATATGCTACAGTTAAGATGTTGATGCATTCACCAAAACATGGCATTGAAAAATATTTCAATTTCAATCTACCTCCCAAGTGCTGATGAACAGACACACCCTACAATTTTTTTTATTGCAAACCATTCTCAGGTTCCTGTAATAATCTTACTACACGTATTTATAATCCAGTTGAAATATAATTTAAAATACGAGACATTTCAAGGGAGGGTCAATAAAAGCAGTAGCACAGAAACAAATTATAATTGCTATATGCTATAAAGGTCAACTGATTTGATAATAGCTCATCTGTATAATTCATGAATATACACACTGACATCCTACCCC